GAGACAGGGTTTCTCTGTGTAGCTTTGGTTCCTGTCCTGGATCTCGCTCTGTAGCCCAGGCTGGCCTCGAACTCACAGAGTTCTGCCTGGCTTTGCCTCCTGAGTGCTGGGATTAAAGGTGTGCGCCACTGCCGCCCGGCTCAATTCAATATTTCTACTGAAAGATAAAAGTTACAATTTTTCATTATCTGCTTTAAAAAACAAACAAACAACCTGCAAGACATGAGGAAAGTCACGCAGCTGGAAAGAGGAAGAGGCTAGCCTCACAGTGCTGAGTAACCCTAGTTAAGAGCACACCGTCCAGCACAGACAAGGTTTCCCTATTTGCAGGCTGCACGTACTGAAACTCTCAAACAGTTGGAGTTCGTCATTCTTTTCACTTTTCTTTAATTTTAACTTTATTTTATGTGCATTGGTGTGAGGGCTTAGATCCCCTGGAACTGGAGTCACAGACAGGTGTGGGCTGCCATGTGGGTGCTGAGAATTGAACTCAGGACCTCTGGAAGAGCAGGCGGTGCTCTTAACTGCTGAGCCATCTCTCCAGCCCCCTTCTCACACATCTTAGGAGTCTTCTTAAGCCCCCTTTCCTTCCGTTTCTAATTGACAAATAAAATCGGTGTTGTGTTTGTGGCATACTTGATATTGTGAAGTATGTGCACATTTCACAATAATAGACCTGGCAGACACACACACACACACACACACACACACACACACACACACACACACACCGTATTCTAAGTTTGAATATCACTTCATGGTGCTGAGGACACTTGCTGTCTGTCGACTCTTCGGGAACACAGTAACATATCTTCATTAAGCGTCTTCACTTAAGGGCTCCCTAGCGCCCCCAACAATCCCCTTCTTAGGGATTTTCCTCTCTTCTTTTTAGTTCATATGATCAGTTCCTGCGTTTGCTTTCATGTCTTCATCTATAGAGTTAGAAGAACTTAAAAGAAGTTTCGGTTACTTGGGTAGGGTAGGCCTGAATGGTTCTTGCCAACCACAGACCAAAATAATTAGGGCAGATTTGCTGTTTAAGGTGGGAGAGAGCCAGGCAGGGTGGCACACACCTGTAATCCTAGCATTTGGTAGGACAAGGCAAGAGAATTATGAGCTGAGGCTAGCCTGAGCTGCATAGTGAGAGTCTATCTAAAACAAACAAACAAACAAAATGCCAGAAGACAGGTCAAAAAAAAAAAAAAGTGGAGAAGGACTGGGTATAGTTTGGGGGTTTTGTGACCAACCTTGAGAAGTTTTCAGTCTTAGATCCCATGTACCTGTTTGGAGACAATTTTCCAACGGAGCAGGCCCTGGAGAGCAAGCCAGGAAGCAGCAGCGTCCCTTCACACCTTCTGCGTCAGTTTCTGCCTCCAGGTTCCCGTTGAGTTCCTGCCCTGACATCCAGTGATGATGGACTAAGACTTGGAAATGTTAGACAAAGCAAACCCTCTGCCCCCAGCCGCCTTGGGTCATTGTTGGTTTTAATGCGATGGTGCTGTTACTGAGCGAGAAAGCCACGAGGCACGACAAAACCCACTATCAGAGTTTTATTAGGAGGAGGGAGGGACAGAAGAGAGACATATGCTCGGAGAAGGGGGGGGGGAGAGAAGGGGGAGGAGTCTGTGTCCTGCTTCTTATGGATTCCCCCACACCGCGTGCGCATATGGGCTTACAGAGCTATGTAGGTGGAAGTTTTCCTGTGTCCCACCCGGTCCACAGCTGCTCAGACCCAAGTAAACACACAGAGGCGTATATTAATTCAAACTGCTTGGCCATTAGCTCAGGCCTACCACTGACTAGCTCTTACACTTAAACTCAGCCCATTTCTGTTAATCTGTATGTCACCACGTTTTCCGTGGCTTTACCTGTGTGACATTACATGCTGCTCCCTGGATGGTGGGCTGGCGTCTCCTGATTCAGCCTTCCTCTTCCCAGAATTCTCCTTGTCTGCTTATCCCACCTATACTTCCTGCCTGGCTACTGGCCAATCAGCTTTTTATTTATCAACCAATCAGAGCAACACATTCACAGCATACAGAGTGATATCCACAGCAGAGCCAGGCCACGCATGTGCAGAGATTGTGTGATCACACAGCGCATGACTTACGCAGGATGTAGGATGTAAGGCCCCTTGCTTGGCTACTGAACCATGCATGTGAGGTCATGTAGCTGGGGGATTGGCCAGGAATTCCAACGGTCATGGTGTTTATCCCAGGAACAGAAAGCCAACTAGGACAGTAACCCAAGTGTGGCATCTTCTGAGTGGCAAGGGAACAAGTGGGCACCCCGTCAAGGCCTGTGTGTGCTATTTCACCCTCAGGATGTGCAGTGGAGTGAACACTTGTGTGACCCCCAAATGCATGTACTGGAACCCTAGTCTGAGTGTGGCAGTATTTAGAAATGAAGCATTTGGAAGATCATTAGGTCGTGAGGGTCAAGCCCTAATCAACGGGATGAGTGACATCAGAAGAAGCCAGAATGTGTGCCCTTACCTGAACCAGACCGCGCCTGCACCCTGACCTTGTGGCTTCTAGAACTGTGGGCAATGGATGCTGTTGTTTTAGCCACCCAGCCTATGGTGACTAAGACGAGAGGGGGCAAAGACGGAAGAGAGAGAGGGAAGGGAGAGGAAGGTGCTTTTGTTTGTTTGCTCCGGACTGAGCCCACAGCCTCCCACGTCCTAAGCAAATGTTCTCTCACTGAGGTAAATCCCCAGTCCAGTGTGTTTCAGTGAGGAAAGGCTCCATCTCCAGGGGCTGGCAGCCTCCTGTTGGGATGGACCAAGACTTCCCACAGAGAGGAGGCTGCAGGAGAGAAAACAGAAAGGCGTGGGGGAAGTTGGAAAGGTATTTGCAATCTGCGGATATATGTGGGGAGCAAGACTGACTGCTGGAGGTTGATGACCGACCTGCTTCGGATCAGCCAGGGCCTGATCATGAAACTTGGACTGGCCTCAAACTTGTGATCCTCCTGCCTCAGCTTCCTGAGTTCTGGGATTACAGGTATCTTTCCATGCCCCTCCTGGATTGTATTTAATCTTGTTAAAGCTGTTGTTTTTTTTATTGCGTTTGGTGTGTTCTCCAGCCCCACCTCCCACCCCCCACCCCGGTGCTGTGGATGAAGGTACAAGGCTAGCCCTCGAGCTGCAACCCAGAATCCTACATTTCACCTGGATGTCTTTCTTAATCAAATCATAGCCAGGTAATAAAATACGTTTAAAATAGCTTCCAGATTCTAAGTTACTCAGGGTAGGGTAGGACCTTTTAGAAATGAAAACTTAACGAGGCTGGAGAGATGGCTCAGTGGTTAGGAGCTCACAATGCTCTAGCAGAGGACCTGAGTTCGGTTCCCAGCACCCATGTTGGGTGGTTCACAACCACCTGAAACTCTGACACCTTCTTCTGACCTCCTCAGGCCCTGCACACACATGTACGTGCCAGATACGTATACAAACAATTTTTAAAAAAAGAAAAAAAAATGAAAACGTGTGTAAGTATTGCCAATAGGTCAATGTATTGCCCTTTAATATTAAGATTTAAAAGGTTTTATTTATTTAAATTCATTATTATTATTATTATTGCATGTGTCACGGCACACACGTGGAGGTCAGGGGACCACACTGTAGAGTTGGTTTTCTCCTGTTTCCATGGCTTCAGGCGGTTGAACTCAGGTCTCCGGACCCGTGTGGTCTGCCCGACTTCTGTCACTGAGCTCTCCTGCCATTGCCAGGTTTAAGATTTAAATACATGCTTCATGGAGAGTTCCCGTATTAACGATTTCCTCTTGAGCCAGGGACGGTGAGGCACTGCTGTAATTCTAGCACTCTGGAGACTGAGGCAGGAGGATGAAGAGTTAGTTCTAGGCCAGCCTTGTCTACATATTAAGATCCCATCTTAAAAAGCAAAATCCCAAAACAAAACCAACTAAACAGTCTCATGTTTTACATGCATCATTTATTCACTTACAGGTAAACTATCTCTTGGACTTACTGAATCTTGGGATGAATTTAGCCATTTAAAAACCTAAGGTAGAGAATGTGTACTGGAAAAAACAAACTAATTAATTAATTAATTAAAAAACCTAAGGTGGGGCTGATGAGATAGCTCAGCAGATAAAGCCTTATGACTTTAGTTCTTAACCCTCAACAACAAGGTGAAAAGTGAGAACTGACCCCGCCCCCACTCACCCAAAGCTGTCCCCTGGCTTCTGCATGAATGTCCTGACACCTCATATACACACGGGGGTAAGAAATACAATTTTAAGAATAAAATAAAAATCAAAGGTGCATAGTTCAATGGTAGCGTACCCCCCACCCCTAGCTAGCATGGCCAAAGCCCAGATTTAGTCTCCACCACTGCAAAAATAAATGGATAAGAATAAATTAATTGACTATTTCAATCGAAGGTGCTACAGTAACTCACCTGGTTAAAATGTGTCCATTGAATTGTGAGCAGGACACACGGGAAGAAACCAAGTAAATGTGAACCTTCAAGGTCATCACACACTTGGCTGGTCTTTCAGGTCAGGTGACTCATGTTACTATTTTCCAAGGCATTCATAAATATGACCCTTTAACTTTATTTTCGTTTAAATTTGTCTCAGGAAGGTTTTGAACTTGTCGTGAGAGGCTGAGAGCAAGCTTCAGTTGAGGAAGGAAGCCCCAGCCCCAGGGCAGCGTCCGGGCTTGGGGAAGCCCCTGTTGAGGATGCTCACATTGCAGAGGCGTCCACGGGAGATCATGACCGTTGGTGCGAGCCCTGGAAACTCGTCAACAATGAGAACAGGAACCTGAGCTGGAGGTTTGGTGACAGACAACGTGGGCAGAACGGGACACTGAGGATCCGGGTGGACAGATTTCATAAGAAAGTATGGAGCAAGAGGTTGTGACTAAGCTGGCAACCCTGCCCCAGCTGAAGGATCGGTTCTAGGAACAGAGACCTGACAAGAGTCTTGGGAGACAAGCTGTAGGCAGGAAGTCAACCAGATCCACCACCCAGGAACAGAGAGGGGGAGGGGCGGCAGGCAGGCAAGGAGAAACCCCGAGTTCCAAGCCCAGTTCCAAGGATATTTTGTTGCCAAGTCCTGAGGTTGATCTAGTTCATTACAGACTTACTTCTTCCGGTTGGAGATGAGGAACAGCTTTGCTGATGTTTGCAAGAGGGCAAGAAGAAAATAATTCACCAGTAGCCACCTAAGTGGGCTAGGCCAGCACCGGAAGCAGAGATGGCATTCAGCCACCCAGCATCAGCTTGCCACAGGAAACCCACGCTGAAAGTTACCAATGATGCCCCAGGAAGCAACGAGCCTGGGACGTGCTCCACTGAAATCCCAGCTGATGCTTTGGTGAGAGAGAAGACGGTGGGAAACACTCCCGCAAGCAGCTATCATGTGAGGTGGAAATGCCACCAGGGTGCAGGGACAGGTAGAGACTTGGGAGTTGGGCTACCAGGTACCGACGAAGAACATGATGGGTTCGAACCTTGCCCAGTTCTTAGCGGGGTCTTCTCTGAGTTTTCTTTTCCTGTTAATTCATACCTAGTTCAGAGCAAACAGTTAAGGATTGATGGCAGCGAATGTCCACTCTTGAATGTCCCCCAACTTTACAGGCTTGGGGTAGTATCCTGCACTGTGTGTGAACCGTTCTTCGGAAGCAGCTATTCACAAGATTCTCCCGAGCTTCGGGACCTGAAATACAAAACCCCTCTAGTAGCAGACACTTTGGCACCAGAACTCACTTTGTAGACCAGGCTGGCCTCAGACTCACAGAGATCCACTTCTGCCTCCCGAATTCTGGAATTAAAGGCGTGTGCCCCCACGCCCAGCTAAGGATCATGTTCTTGTTGGATCATATATAAAACTGTGAATGTGGGACTACAGAGATGGCTCATGATTAAGAGAGCTTGCTGTTCTTGGAGAAGACCCAGGTTCTTTGGTTCCCAGCATCCACATGGCAGCTCATAAGCGTAACTCCAGTCTGATCTGATGCCCTCTTCTGACCTTCTCAGGCACCAGGCAGGCACATGGTGGCATGTACAGACGTACATGCAGGCACACACTCATACATTTAAAAAAAGTATTTAAAACAAACCAACTACCTGTAAATGCTACAACAGGTTCACTTCAGAGCTGCATACTATGTCTAAAAGACAGTGGGACTCTTAACTCTCAGGGGCAGCAGAGATTTTCCAAAAGTGCTTAGGGGGACTCTTCAAAGAAGGGGGACTGTGTAACAAAGGCTTCTGAGCCTCACTTCATGGTTGGGGGTGAGACATGCCTTTGTCTTTGTTGTTTGTTTGTTTGTTTGTTTGTTTGTTTGTTTGTTTGAGTTTTTCAAGCCTGTCTTTCTCTGTGTAGCCCTGGCTGTCCACCTTTGTGGATATTAGAAGTTTTCCAAGTGTATTCCTGCAGTCCACAAGTTACAATCTTCTTTTCCCTAGGCTTATAAATACCATGGCAAAACATCATTTAGTCATTCACACGTTCATTGAAGAAGCAGAGAACCGCTGAGGTTTTCGTGCCCTTGCCCCATGGAGCTCCTCTGCAGACCTGCACAGTTGGAGAAACACTGTAACTAGAGTTTTCCTGCCTTGCCCACAGTCAGGACAAATCTTTGTCACCCGCCAGTCCCACAGCCGCTCAGACCCAACCAAGTAAACACAGAGACTTATATTGCTTTCAAACTGTATGGCCATGGCAGGCTTCTTGCTAACTGTTCTTATAGCTTAAATTAACCCATTTCTATTCATCTATACCTTGCCACGTGGCTCGTGGCTTACCGGCATCTTCACATGCTGCTTGTCATGGCGGTGGCTGGCAGTGACTCCTTCTGCCTTCCTGTTTTTTATTTTCTCCTCTCTGTTAGTCCCGCCTATACTTCCTGCCTAGCCACTGGCCAATCAGTGTTTTATTTATTAACCAATCAGAGCAATTTGACATACAGACCATCCCACAGCACTACACCTTAACAAAGCAGTCAGAGGTCAAGTGATGTGTCACAGAGGGTGACAGAGGGTTGTCTAAGTGCCTCCCCGGAGGATTTAAACGTGGTCACATTGTCTGACAGTCCACTGACTCTCACAGCTGGGGGAGAGGAGGGTTCAGACTTGGTGTAGTCAGGAAAAAAGTGAAGGTTTAAACTTGAAGCTTAGCAACTGACTTAGCTAAGGACCCCGGGCTTGCCAGCCTGCTCCGGTTTGACCTTACATCATTTAGGCACGTGATAGACTCTAAACTGGACGGTTGCACTAGGCATGCAGCTCAGGGGTACAGAAATGGCCCAACAAGGGTGAGACCTGGAGTTTCAGTCCCAGCATCGGAAAGAAAGAAGGAAATACAAAGAAATAAGATCAGTAGTCTAAAAACGAGATGGGAAACAGCACGCTCAAAAGGCTGAATTTCTAGGCAGGTGAGATGGTTTCAGCATGTAAAGGGGCTGGCCATCAAGCTTGAAGGCCCGAGAAGTGACTCCCACAAGTTGTCCTCTGACCTCCACATGCCCACTGTGGCGTGAGCCCGCCTCCCTCACCCCTACTGCAAATACAGAAACGTAATAAGCAAATTTAAAAGCTTCATTTCCAACAAATCTTTGCAGTTTGTAGCGAGATTCAGAAGATTAATTATACGGGAATCATAATAAATTTTAAATATAATTTCCATCCATCCATCCTTTCTCTCTCTCTCTCTCTCTGTCTCTCTCTCTCTCTCTTTCTCTCTCTTTCTCTCTCTCATTCTCCTCTCTCTGCTCTCTCCCCATCTCAAGGAGAACAGGCAGGAAGCTACAGTGGCGTTTCTTAAACACTGTAAGTTAGTGTAGAAGGCAGATGTGCACACCCACAGGGCATCTAAAGAGACACGGGTGTCATAACTACACATACCTTCTGTGTAGGTTCACCATTTTGGGGGTCAGTATTCTATCTGTGGACAAAGTGAGACAGTGCAGGGGTGGCTGGGGTAGCCAGGACAGGCACGCGTGTTCATGCATTTAGTGTGCCTTTTTTTTTGTGATAGACCACCTACTGTGTAGCGCCACCCCCTCCGATTTTTCAATCTAGCACTATTCTCAGAAATCAGGACTGCTGCGTAATTGAGGCAGGGTGGAGCGAAGGTCAAAACAGAACTCCTAAGTGGGATAGGTGGCATTTCTTTCTAGTTGTTCATGGGATCGAACACGTGCCTCCACCCAACCCCCCACCCCGAAGCCTCCCCCATTCTCAGCACACTTCCAGCCCTGGGTTTAGGAATGCTAACCATTGGTTTAGTAAATCTAGGGACCACCTGGGAAGGTCCTCCCAAGACCTTGGCTGGGCTGCTTGGTCTAGATGGCCATACCCAGAGGTGGGGTCTCCGGGCAGCGGGGAGCCCCTCCCGCTGAGCGCCCCTCCCGCTGAGCGCCCCTCCCGCTGAGCGCCCCTCCCGCTGAGCGCCCCTCCCGCTGAGC